TGACATCACTGCACAAGGCTGGGACCCCAGCCCAACCTCCCTTTAGCGGGAGCGTCTGGTGGGGACCCGCAGGGCATGTCACTGGGGCCAGGGGAAGTCACGGTGGGACAAGGCAGAAACTGGTGACACCATCACAAGTGATGGCCCTCCAGAGCGGGCAGTGTCTCTGGTGATGACATCATCGCACTGGGACCCGGCCTCAGGCGGGAGTGGGGGTCCTCACTGCCAACAGCCTATAGACAGACCATCACCTCTGGGGAGACCTCCAGCTGGGCAGCCTCCCCAGCGACGGCAGGCCCTCTGGTGACGTCTCAGGACAGGGCACTTTCTCACAGACTCCGGGCATGCCCTGCCTTCTCGTGACGTGGCAGCAGCAGCGGCCCCTCAGAGCCGGCGGGGTCTGGTGGTGACCTCACAGCTCTGGTGATGGACCCCCTGGGAGAGGCACGGTCCCTCAGATGATGTCATCGGGCAAGGCACCTTCTCTGGTGATAGCATCACAGGAAGGAGGCGGAGTCCCTGTGATGACGTCGCGGAAAGGAGGCCTTCTGTCGAGGGAGGACACACTTGGGGAGGCTTTCCCCCCGCAGCGTGTCCCAGCAAGATGGCTTTGTCTGTAGTGATGACATCATGGACAGAGGCATCTTCTCTGGAGGAAAGGATTTTCCTGCGGACGATGATGATATAAGAGGCCATTGGGTGCCAGAGATGATGTCATAAGGGCGAGACTTATCTTTGAATTGACATCACAGGAATCGTTGTCTCTAGGGATGACGCCATAGGACAAGGCATTGTCTCTGCCAGGACATCACGAGAAGGAAGTCTGTGATGGCATCAGGAATATGGCCTCTAGCGATGACCTCGGGGCCGGGCCTCTTCCCCTGTGATGGCCTCCTGGGAAGGTTTGGCCCCGGTGTTGACATTGTGGCCAGTGACAACCTCACTGGCAAGCCTCTTCCTCTGTGATGACGTCATGGGAAGGAGGTCTTGCCTCAAACAGTGACATAGGAGGAGGGATCTCATCCGTGACATTCTAGGCCCGGTCTCCGAGACGAGTTCATTCAAAGCAGTGTCATCAGAGGCAGCCGCCTGGGCCGCAGGCGGAGCGGTCCGGGCCC